TAGTCTTTCTTCACTGAATTAGAGATGAATCAGACAGGTGTCTGCTTTTGAGCAGCTGGTAGCTGAGCACAGAGTAGGATAGATGAATTCATTCATTCATCTGGTTCCTCATTTATGCATTCAGCATATTTTGTTGAATTTTGTGTTAGCTGCTCTCAGGCCCCAGGAGTGCAATGGTGAGCAGAAACAGACCTGTCTCTGCCTCCCTGGCTTTTGTAGCTTAGGGGGTGAGGCAGGTGCTTCATCCCACGAGCCAGTGTTAAGGGAGTGGAGCAGTGAGCAGACATTTGCCTGTGAAGAAAGAGGGAACAGGTCATTTTTCCCAGAGGAGTCAAAGAATCTGCAGTTAGTAGGACAGTCAGAGTTGGACCTTAAAGGATAATATAATAGTTTCTGGGATGATGTGAGAGAGAGCAGACAGTCCAAGCAAAGGGATCAATGTGTGCAGAGATACAGACAAATGAGTGGGCATTTGCAAGGAGTGAGGAACAGCAATTGGCCATGGTCATGGGGTGGGGTGCTGGACAGCCTGTGAGAAGGGCTGTCTGCTCTGCTCAAGTTGTATGCTGAGTGCAGAGGGGTTGTTGATTTTTGTCCTCATTGTTTGTTTTAAAATAAATGTGTATTTTATTGAAGTATATCATGGATGTGTTGAAAATTGTACGTGTTATGTGTAGAGTTTGAATGACCATCTCAGGATAAATGCACCTGTGTAATCCCCATCCAGGTCAAGAGCATTTTCAGCCCCCAGCGGGCTCCTCCATCCTCTGCCCCACCTAAACCAGTCTTCTTCCTTCTAATACTGTGCATTAGTTTTGGATGTTTTTGAAGCATGATACTACCAGAGACATTCCTGTCTATTTCTTGTATGTTTTGAGGGGACAGATCTATTGGGTGTATGCCCAAGATCAGAACTGGTCAAGGGGCTGAGTGACAGGGTCATAACTGTAACAGAACTGAACTGTGGCAGCAGGGTGAAGGCCACAGGGAAGAGCTGGGAAGCTGTGGCTGTGATTCAGAGCCCCGCGAGTGCAAGAACCATTACTAACTCTGACTGATTTTGATCTCCCCAGTGCCCCTCATAAGATTTCTTTGAAGCATTTCCAGAGAGGGCAGTTGTGGCAGAAATTAAGACAGTTACCATGACTTGGATGCCAGGCTGTCAGGGAACACGGGGGGTTACTTAAGTCCATGCTGGAAGACCAAGAAGGATGCCTGGAGCCACAGTGGGCAGGGCAAAGGGTCTGTGCAAGGAAGGTCAAGTCTGGAATCCTGATTTTGAAGGGCCCATGGGATGTCAGGATTCAGTCAGCAGTTGGGTAGGCAGGTGCAGTGCTCAGAAGACAGATCTGAGCCAGAGATGTCGAGCATCACCAGCACAGAGCACAATGTCTTCGTCAGAAAACCCTAACTCCAAGTGACTAGAGTCATTTAAGATTCCTATAAAGAAGGCTACAGATCAGACTGCTCTAGTACGTGTTAGTTCCCTGGATTAACAGTGTCAGCGAGGATCCAGGGTCCTACTGCTTTTCTGCTTTAGTCTTCCCTGTTAGTTGACTTTGTCCCATAATAGACCCCTGGTGGTTATATGGTGCCTGATGTGTCTAGATGTGACTTCTCAAGTCTCTGTGGCCATCATTGTGTCCCAGCCCACACCCACATGACTGATGCAAAGGCTCTCCTCCTGCCCTTCACCCCCTTAGGGCCACTTGTTAATGTAGGAAGGATGGAGATGGCTGTGGGTGAGGTCATGTAGGGTGTGCAGTAGAAGGTGACTCAAGCCTTGGGAGGGAGAGGAAATGGCAGGGAAGGAGAATGAAGATGAAGCATGAAGGACTCAGGATTAATAGGTTAGGAGATCTACAGCCTTTGGTCTCCTGACCTCTGGGAGCCACCGTTGGCAGAAAGCAGACTTGGAATGGATGGGTCAGGAACCATGAGTGCCGCAGAGCAGTAAGTGGTTTGATGCCAGCCTAACCTTACCCTTGGCTCGGTTCTGTCTGTTCTATAACAGGGAGTTTCTCAACTGTGGAGTTAGAGGACAGACCTCTTGAAAACGATGGACTGTTTTCTTGAGCATCAGTTCCATAAGGCTATTACGTAACCCAAGGACGGTCCAGAGTTGAAAAGCCTGTGTCCATTTGGAAGAATCAAGAATTATTGTTAGACCTTGGTAAAATTTCTAGCTTTGCAGCCTGCCTATCTGGAGAAAGGAAATAAAATTCTTTAAATTAAATAATATTAAGAAAAAGAGGTCAGAAGGAGGAAGAGGAGCCCTCAATGGAGGTCAACATGGAATAAGCAGAGGTCAGTTTCAGACTGGGGGTATGTGGTTGTGAGTTCACAGGAGTGACATGGAGTCAGAGGAGTGCCTGTCACACAATTGGAGCTTAACACCAGCTGGGACTGGGGGTGGGGGAGGTCCATAGCTCAGAGAGCCAAGGAGGAAGAATGGAGGTTAGAAGAGCCCAAGGAAAGGGCATTGCTATGGGGTGGGGAGGGACAGCAGCTAGCATAGCATCTGAGAGGGTGAGAACAAGACTCACTAAGTTCAGTGGTGCTGAGGAAGACAAGGGGAAGCTTCTGTGATGGGATGCAGAGAGAGGGGATTTATTTTTACACTTGAGTTGGTGGGGTCTTGGTCTTGTGTGTCAGCAAAAATGAAGGTGCTTGAGAGCAGGCCGAGGTGGGAGGCCAGAGGAGGCTTGGGGTAGAGGATGCCGGCCTCAGGGGAGGCTGGAGCCCAGGGAGGGGTGCCTGTGCCAGGAACTGGGCTAGGGACTTGCGTCTCCATGCATGCTGTGGCACACTGGTGGGATAGCTGCACAGGGGCCAAATGCTTCTGGAAGCCTGGGAGCCACAGGAGGCCGCTGACAGACAGTGGGAGCACCTTCTTGCCTGGTGACATGGTTTTCTTCTGAACTTTCAGAGAAGGGTAGACTCATAGCTCCATCAGATCTGGGATTGGATTCTGAATTTCCCAGCTTTGCCAATGAGGTAAAAAGAAAGAGGGAACCGGCAGCCATGAGTGCTCTTCCTCTCTCTGAGGACATGAAGGACGCCTGACCCTTTCACTCCAGACCCTGTAAGATGTTTTGTTGGGCTGCTTTAGAGGACTCTCCTGGGCTCTACCCCCCTTCTCCTTCCCCCCACCATATCTTCAGTCTCAGGCAACAGGGCCCAGACCCCAGGGCTCCTATCTCCTAGCTAACACAGTAGGAGTGTTGTTTTAGGTCTAGAATTCTAAAACCAGGAGGAGCTCTTAGCGTAGGGATCACAGAAATCTATAGGGTACTGAGAGGTAAATTAAGTCAATAGAATCGGATGAGGTATTGAAAATTGATGGGGGTAGGGTGGGAATAAGCAATCTAATTGCATATAAACTGGTGGGAATAATTTTCACCTCACAAAGAAGTTATTTTTGAGAGAGAGAGAGAGAGAGAGAG